ACAAATTAATGCAACATGTTTTTTCCTGTGAGCTGTTGTCTAAATACAATATGTGAATTTGCATGTTTAATACGACAGATACACCTTCATTCACTGAGAAACTGTGCATTAATTTTATTCAACCATCTTTCTCACCTTACCTCAAAAATTCATTGACTTGTTTCAGTGGATTCCAAACTGTCTTTGGGGCAGGATAAACACTGTAAGCAAACAAACAAATGAAAGACTTCTCCCAAATAAATTCTTAAATTTTTTCCCTCCTACTTTAATACTATTTTAAAAAGTCCTTTACATTGATTCATTTGTTTTTTTTAGAAAGGGTCTCACTATGTTGCCCTGGTGGGCCTGGTACTCCCTGTGTAGACCAGGCTGGCCTGAAACTCACAGAAATCTGCTTGCCTCAGCCTGGGATTAAAGGCATGAGCCACAATGCCCACCCAGCACAGTTTCACCTTTAACACTAACAAATTATTGGCAGGTTAGTCTGCCCTATCATCTTTTGACCTAAAACTCTATTTTAATAGAAGAATAACATTCTTCAATATTTCATTATGAAATTTAGAACAGTTATATGGCTTCACTAAACTGGCCAAAGTAGTGAGAAATATACAATTTAGTAAATGGTTGGTTATTTTGCTTTTTGGCATGGGCACTCCAAGAACAGAGAATGAAAAATGAGTAACAAAATCTTTGTCTCCCATATTAAAGGGGGAAAACAAGTCGCAAGGCAGTTTGAACCTCTGAAATCCATCTGGCCTATTCACTACTCACTGACTTTCTCCCATGGTCTGTGACCTGTCTACCCTCAGGTTCCTTAACATGATATCCATGTCAGCAAGGGTATTCTTTCTATGAAGTAGAACTTATCCAATTAGAAAGTAACTGGTTACTCTTACAATATTCATGCCACTATTGCACTGGTGGGCCTCTTTCTCAGGTCAGTCATTTTTCTAGCTTGCAGGAGTTACAGCTGGTTAGGTTCATGCTAAGTTTTCATGTAATTTTTATAACACTGTCCAGCACTATGAAAGTTAGCCAGTAGAGATGAGGCTTGAAGTAAATACCATATTGATTTCTCCTTATTTATTCTACAGCTCATATATGTAGTATTTTCAGTAACAGGATATTGCCATTTAGTTCTGGTGGGTGATCAAGAGCCGGGCAATTTGCAGTATTTTTAAGTGTAGTTGGTGTCCTTCATCAACAGTTTTTAGAGAGGAAATTCATTCCTGGAATTGAGATCTTTTTTCCACTGGCCTATGATGTCTAGAAAGGGCAATGCCCCCCTGTTATAGAATAACCCCTTTTAATCTTTTTTTATGTATATGTATATAATTTAAGACTCTGTATAGTGGTAGGTTTCCATATGGCTTTTTCTAAAGGCCTTTGGTATTATTTTTTAACTGTACAGATTTATGTGATATGGTTTCATAACTCAACACACGTACACCCAGTGCAAACATCTAATCAGGGTAACTAGCACTCCTTGTAATTAAACATTTAACTTTTTTGTTAAATGTGTAATAATTATGCAGTAGTAGGATGAATTAATACAGGACCACGTAATGATACCTAATGTTTCTATTTCCTTCTCTTTCTTTTAGGTTTGGAGCCTCAACTCTTCTCTTCTAGTGATTTGTAGAATGCAGTGTAGGGTGTTCTGAACTACAGTTACCCCACTCTGCTAAAGAAAATGACAACTTAATATTTCTGTCCATCTGTGATTTGTTATTCATCATCCAACATCCCTCTGTTCTTTCAGTCTTTCCCGGTCTCTAGTAATCACTGCCATACATTCAAATCAGCCTATTTTATTCTCAACAACAGTATCTACTTTAGAAATTTCAGATTTATATGAAGTCAAGGACAGGTACTTATCTTCCAATTTGGAAGTATGAAAATTAGAATTTCTATTGGGTAGGTTATTACCTACAGGAAAAAGCATTTTATTTTCTACATCTGCATTTGATTTAGTCTCCAAAATTATTTTCTTAAAGAGATAATTTAAATATGTTCTAAAGATCTTCTGTACGTCATAGTGACTGTAGTAAAATATAGAATATTTTATATGTGAAATCACTTAAAACAATAAATCTTAGGTATTGTCATCACAAAAGATGAATATTGAATAACAGGTATATTAATTAGCTTGATTGAGTAATTTCACAATTTATACATAGCCATAATTTTGTACTATGTACTGTTAACACAAACATTTCTGCATATGCATGCTAGAGATTGAGTCCACATTAAGCATGTGCTCTATCACTCAGCTACCATCCAGTCTCCTGATATATGATTTTTATTTTTCATCGAAAACCAATAAATCTGAAAATAAAAGCTAGTAATTATTTTCTCTACAGACTTGATCCCCTGGGTTTCTGAGTCCTTAGGGGAGTTATCACCAATTTGTTCACAGTTTTATGGAGAACTGAGTGCTATGCAAAATTAAGTCATTGATCTTGTTAAAGTTCTACTTAAAGGATCAGCTTCAAGATGCTATTGAATGTTATTTGTCCTTGCGGGTACCCAAGGCAGTTGAAGAGGACAAGTCTACATTCTCGGGGTATTTCACTCCCATATCAGAAACTCTAAATTCACTGTGACATGAGCAGGTAGAGCTGTGTGGGTAATTTCTTCTGAACTGTGAATTAATTAAGCACACAAATACTTTCAGCGAACCAGATATTCAAAACTAAATTCAGTGCCATGGGAAAGCAGTGTCTATAGGCTAACCATGAAAAATAACTTGCCATCAGTTGAATATGTGCATCTTTTGCTTTAGCTAAACTAACTTGAATATGGAGCACAGCAGAATTCCTTTTACTGTAGGTCAGGGATTGGCACTGAGAGTGTGAAACATGAAGGAAGATTTATTGGCTCACAGAATGTAGAATAGAGAGGTTTTGTCTTCAATAGAACCTACTGTATTCACCTCTTTATAACTCACAGAAAAACCTCCTTCCAAATTAGCTAATCTGAATTCTCAGTCTGCCGGTACCCAAGACAAGGCTGAACATCATAAAGTTTAATCGACTTCTATACACTGTGAACATTGTTTTCATACAGGATTGCATCTTGAACACAGATGATAATTGTTACTGGCATATGTTTTGCTACCTTTAGTTTGCAGGGGCAACTATTTGAGAGCATAGTTGTGTGCATTCAAATTTCAGCATCAAAACCATTATTTTCTATAACTTTATTTGAGACATGTAAAAGGCTTTATTTCCACTTTTGGATATAATACTGAAAATATAAATAACCTGAAATGAGTTTCTATGTTTAGAAAGCAAGTGAATTTTGAAACATCCTAATATTATGATAGTTTTTCTGATTAACCTTAATTATATCTCTCCAGATGTTTTCTTTTTTAAGTTACCATTGCCTCTGAAAACACAAGATACCAGTGGCTTTCCAGTGAACAGTTTTAATTTAATCAAAATCCTTCCCCGGTCTCCTCTGTGCTTAGAATGTTGCTGCCCTTCTTCCAGGGCTTTCAGGTAGCACGTCCTGACATGGGCTCTGCATCATGACTCTAAGGTCCTAACTGTATGCTTCTCTTCACCAGCTTTACTTTATTATACTGTCCTTTCTTCTCACTTTTCATGTAACCTTATTCTTCATAAATTAGGAAAATTAAGTTAGAAAGCTCATAGATGCTCAGAAAGCACAAAGGTAACATAGATCTTCTGTGACCTTCATCTAATTTTCCTTGATGGTTAACATAGTATATGAACACAATATGCCTCCATAACCAGGAATGATGAATGCATCTGTGACAGTCCTTATTAAGTGTAGGTTAGTCTAAGCATTCCACAATCAGAACTATTCCATGCACACAAAGATCTCCTTGCCTACATCCCCTTTGCAGTTACAACCTCATCGCTTAACACTGACAACCACTTATCCGTTCCTCAACACTACAATTTTGCCATTTTCAAATGCCACATCAATGAATTTATATATGACATGACCTTTTGAAACTGACTTTGACATCCTTTATGTTATTGTTTATATGATACTCAAATATTTCACCTCTTTTAAGCATTTTGGTCATTTCAAGTTCTTCATTATTATAAATGAAGCTCTATGAGCAATCATCTGTATCTTATTATGTGGATATAAGTTTTTATTTCTCTAAGATAAATGGACTGTGCCTTTTTCTGCCTTAAATTGTGTTTTTGTCTTCAAAGCTCCTGTAAACCCTCAGTATTTAAGAATTGGATCCTTGAGCTGGGAGTATTGGTGAATGACATTAATCCCGGCACTTGGGAGGAAGAGGTGGATCTCTGTGAGTTCAAGGACAGCTGTTGCACAGGGAGACCCTGTCTCAAAAGCTAAAAAAGCAACAATAACAAAAGAATTTGATCCTTCCTTAGTGGCCACAAAATATATGAAATTTCTGGATTAATTAGCTATTTATGACTCTGGTATGACAGATTTAGACAGGTTTGGGAATGTGTGACAGACATCGAACTCTATAGTTGTTTGACTCCTATTTTAAAATCACGGTCACCATTTTCAGCACACCATCCTATATCCTTGACACCAGAAGTCATCTCTGAGACAATATGATGTTTTAGTGTATGGACTGCAAAATGTAGGCAAGAAAAATTATATACTTAACATTTGTTTACCCTTGAGCTGGACCAAGGAAGCCTAAATTCACTGATTCAAATAATTCCTTTTCTCATGTAATGTTTCATAAAATACTGTTGGTTCATAAAAAAAGTGTTTGGAGACAGAAAAAGTAAGGTAGCTGTTAGAGAACTTGTATGATGTAGTCTCCAAATTTCACATCTATACATACAAATGAGGAAATCAAAGAGCTCAGGGAGGACTGTTACTGACTCTAAAGTGCCCATGTCATGAAGGAGGTTTTAGTAATGAAGGAGTGGGTACCAAGTTAACAGAAGTTAAATTAACTAAGAAGCCTTAAACCGTGAATTTATTGCATAGACAAAACTTTCTTTCTCACAACAGAGTAAATCAGAGGAATGAGGCACAGAAATCAAACTGTGGTGACTGAGTTTTTTTTCATGGGCTTAACAAACACCTTCCAGCTCCAAGTTTTCCTCTTCCTGACATTTCTCTGTGTTTACCTTATCACTGTTCTGGGGAACCTGGGCATGATCACACTCATTCACATGGACTCCAGACTGCACACCCCCATGTACTTTTTGCTTAGCCACTTGTCCTTTGTGGATGCCTGCTCCTCCTCTGCCATTGGTCCCAAGATGTTGTCTGACATCTTTGTGGAGAAAAAAGTGATCTCTTTTTCAGGTTGTGCTATCCAGCTATGTTTATTTAGTGAGTGTGTGGTCACAGAATGCTTCCTTCTGGCTTCCATGGCATATGACAGGTATATAGCTATCTGTAGGCCCTTGCTTTACACACTCATTATGTCCCAGCAGGTCTGTGTGCTGCTAGTAGCAGGCCCTTACACTGTAGCCCTTATAAGCACCATGATTCATATGACATTTGCCTTTCGACTACCCTATTGTGGTCCAAATCTCATCAATCACTTCTTCTGTGACCTTCTTCCTGTGTTATCCTTGGCATGTACAGATATCCATGTGAACAAACTTTTGCTTTTCACTGTGGCTGGGATTCTGGGTGTGTTCAGTGGTGTGATCATCCTGGTGTCCTACATTTACATTGTCATTGCCATCCTGAGGATCCGCTCTGCTGATGGGAGGCGCAAAGCCTTCTCCACCTGCTCTTCGCATCTGTTGGCAGTCTCCATCCTTTATGGGACCCTCTTCTTTATCTATGTTTGTCCAAACTCCAGCTTCTCCCTAGATATCAATAAAGTTGTGTCATTGTTTTACACAGCTGTGATTCCCATGTTGAACCCACTCATCTACAGTCTGAGAAACAAAGAGGTCAAAGATGCAGTCAAAAGGACGTTTGGAAAGAAGTTTTGCTACTGTTTGAGAGATAAAATATTATAAAGACTAGCATCCATAGATAGCATATTTTATCTTATTTCAATTCTCTTTTCAAGTCTAAGAAGTTTGTAACTCTAAGCTGAAGTTCATGAATGATATAATGTGTAACTTTAGTAAATATTCTGTGCGTTATGACTAGGAAGTTATTCTGTATGAAAATCTGAATAAATGCATGTTATAGTTAGTGTTTCTACTAATACCTCAGCTTTGTATTATATAATTTTGATCACCAAAATAATCTTTCATAATATAAGAAATGCTTTGGGAGGCTTCTCATTGTTTAAAGATAAAAGTTAAACTCCATTAGCTGTTATAATACTTATGAAGCAGAGGTCACTAATATTTTTTAACCCTATAATTTGTGATTTCCTTATGGCCATGGACTACTTTGTCTCTTGATGCTCCCCTTATTTGTACCTATTCATCAATGTAAAGAAATATGCTATCCACTAAGCTTTTGTTTATGGCGATCTTAGCTTCCTTTGACTCCATTGTCTAAACTGTCTCATTGCACCAATCTCATCCATCTAGATTGAGAACCTGTATCAACACAAAATGCCTAGAGTTACTGTGTATCTGGTCTCTGTCCTGCCTGTGAAATCTCTGAATCAGGACTGTAATTTTGAAACTTATTTATTTATTTATTTATTTATTTATTTATTTACTTACTTACTATGTAACCCAGGCTGGCTTTCCCCCAACCAAACCTCCCCCATCTCCTCACTGGACCTCATGTAATCCATATATTTAATCCTATCCAGTCAAGCCGTTGTACCCAAATATCCTTCAGTGTGACTCTGTCCACTGCAGTCTAGAGATCACATGTAAGGCATACTCTCCCTCACCCAAACCAATCACTTGCCAATAGTTCTCAATCTAGTGCCTGGCTGCCACTCACGGACCATTACAGAATGGGTGGAAAGACTGCAAGAGCCAGGGCTGGTTTGTGAACACAGGGAAGCAGAGGCTTTCAGGAAACTGGATACTTGTACACATGAACTTGTGTCAATGGTGGCATACCAACTCAAATGAATAAAAATTCAATCAGGGGACTGAATGGTAGCTGGACGATAGAGCACATGTTTAGCCCTGGACTCAAACTCCAGCATGCATGGGCATAAATGTATGTGTTTACAGTACACATACAATATTATGATCTATGTATAAAATGTGAAATTAATCAGTCAAGCTAATTAATATGGCTGCTATTCTATACTCATCTTTTGTGATGACAATACCTAAGATCTATTGTTTTAGGTAATTTCATGTATATAAAACACTATATTTTATGAGAGTCAACATGGTGTACAGAAGATCTCTAGAACATAGTTGAATTACCTCTTTGAGAAAATAATTTTGGAGACTAAATCAAATGCAGACATAGAAAATAAAACACTTTTTCATGTGGGTGATAACCTCCTACCCAATAGAAATTCTAATTTTCATACTTCCAATTTGGAAAATAAACACCTGTCCCTGATTTTATATAAATATTAAAATCCTAAAGTAGATACTATATCTTAAGAAATAATGGGCTGATTTGAATATATAGCAGTGATTACTGGAGACTGGGAAAGACTGAAAGAAGAGGGATGTTGGATGATGAATAACAAACCATAGAAAGACAGGAATATTAAGTTGTCATTTTCTTTAGCACAGTGAGGTGATCATAGTTCAAAACTACCTATAGTACATTCTAAATTGCTAGAAGAGAAGTTCATCCTCCAATCTAAAGGAATGAGAAAGAAATAGAAAAATTAATTATCACGACGTGGTCAGTACCTTTCATGTTCCTGTGTTAATCCATCCTACTGCTGCATAAGTATAATTATTACATGTTTAACAAAAAAATTAAATGTTTAGCTACAGGGAATATTAGCTACCCTGATTAGGTGATTGCACAGAGTATGTGTTAAATTATGAAACTATACTACATAAATCTGTAGAGTAAAAAAAAAGTAATACCAAAGGCCTTTAGAAAAAGTCATATGGAAACTACCACTATAAAATATTCTTAAAGTATATACATATACATCCTAAAAGAGATTAAAATAAGTTATTCCATAAGAGGGGTCTATGAAGTCCCTTTCTAGACTTCATAGACCAATGAAAAAAAGATTTCAAGGCCAGAAATGGACATTAGATGGCCAACTTTTAAGGAATAAGAGACTGCAGAGTGTGTATCCCTATAAAGGATTTCTATATCAAATTTCTCCCACCCATGGCTCAGGGATCATTGAAGAAGAGAGAATGGGAAGATTATAAGATCTAGGGTTTGTCCACGAACATAAGGATGCAGAGGTTTGCAGGCCACTGGAAGCTTGCACATGTGAACTTGTGGCAATGGTGGCATTGAGCACAGGACCCACACCAACTCAATCAGACAAGGGCCCAGAGTGGAGTGAGGGAAATGGGTGGTGGGCAGGCCCTAGACTGAGAACTATTGGAGACAGATTACTACTGAATGAGGGTGAGTAGGCCTTACCAACAATCTCTAGATAAAGCTGACTACACTCCAGGGAATGAATTTGCACCAGAGGACAGCTGGGTACAAATACTTAACTGGATAGGACTTAACATACATAGCAGAACATATGAGGTCTGGTGGGAGGTGGGGTGGAAGGGCATGGATGGGGGAGGAGGGTCTAAATTTGATTAAGAACTGTTGTATGAAATGTACAAAAGCTCAATAAATTTTTTTTTAAATAATGAAAAATTTTTAAAAAGAAATTTCACATTGTCAGTTGCAAGAATGTGTATGGGCATAAAATATTTTAGCATCCAGCAGAAAAGCTTGGCGTTTTACCTCTAATCAATGAAAAGTCTCTCAAAATGCTTCAGTTTACACAACTTTTGAAATAGGTCCGCACTCTTCTCTTCACATTTAGAGATTTAACATTTTCGATCATCAGAAAATACAATGATGCAATAAATTAATAGAAAGAGAATTTCCTGTCCCTCTCTCAACTCAGTTGATTGTTTTTAGAACAAAGCATAGTTCTAAGTAATAATCTGTCCGCCGTCTTCCTTCTGCAAGTTACTTTTTATCTCCAGTAGTAACAAGTAACTGCTGAACTTCATCCAGCTGTCTGCTCCTCACATGAACCTTCCCTGTTCTTTATGTTTTTATATTTTTATTGCACGTTTATATATTTCATACAACAGTTCTTAATCAAATTTAACCCCCCACCCCCCTGCGTGTCCCCCACCCCCTCCACCGAACCACATGTACTCCCCCATACATATATTTACTCTAAAGTATGCTTTTCTCAATGCAATGACAAACTGGATTGTTCTCTCTATTCTTTTAAGATTGTTGAGTTTTAGTATATAGAAATACCCATGATTTTTGGTTTTATATCATATCATCAATTAACAGAGATTATTTTTACTTTTTACTTTTTTGTTTCCTACTAAGATGTCTTTTACTATTTTCTCCTGCCTAGTTGTTCTGAGTTGGATTTCCAGAACTTTGAGAACAGAAGAGATAATAGCTGTGCTTCTTTTTTTTCTGATGTGTAAGGAAATGTTTTCAGCTTTTCACCATAAATATGTTAACTGTAGGTTTCTCACATTTAGGGCTTCTGTTGTGTTTAAGTGCAGTCACCGCCAGCCGCAGCTGCTCCTCTGTTCTTGTGGGTACCACTCCTTTGTTCTCACAGGCATGGAGACTGCTCTTCTGCTTGCCCTGGGCTGAGGCCGCTCTTCTGCCTGCCCTGTGCTGCCTCTTGTCATCACAGCTTCTGCCTGGTCCCAGACCCCAGGGCTGGTGAGGAGACTGTCAGTGGAGCCGCATTCAGACACAGGAGACCAGGTTCAGTGACACAGGTCTGCTTTATTGCAGGAAGGCACAAGCTTACATAGGGATAGTGACCAATCACAGCACAGCAAGTAGGATACCTCATTAGCATATCAAGTTTAGCATCCTATCACAGTACAGCAAGTAGGATACCTTATTAGCATAACAGACTTAGTATCCTATTAGCATAACACACTTAACATCCTATCACAGAATAGCAGGTAGGATGCCTCATTAGCATACTGGGTTTCAGATTACAGAGCCTGGATTCCTGGAAACCACGTGACCCTGACTGTTGCAATATCTAAGTGTTGCAATTTTGGATTCCAAGGGTGTTGATTAGGGAGTGGAGAGCTCTAGGCATCGGTCTCATGATCTGCCAATGGGAGCAAATGTCACAAGGCATTCCTTGTGGCTCCAGTAGTCCAGGCATTGCCTCCAGCCTGCTGTATGGCTGTCAATGAGATTTTCACCCTAGGCTCAAGCCTGTCTCCCACACTGAAGTACCTTCTTTCTATACCTAGCCTCACTGCTAGGTGATAGAGACTTGGTCTTCTATAAGGGAGTGATGCTAGATAGGTTGACTAGGCTCCAGTGGATAAATTCATATGGGACATATGAGTACACAAACTTGACTTGGTAGGCCTTAACATATATGATAGAATGCATGAAATCTAGTTGGCAGGCTATGAGGGGTGTATTTAGAGGAAGGGGTCTAAATATGATTGAGATATATTGTATGAATTGCACAAAAATTCAACAAAATATACATTTAAAAAGCTTTTTTAAGAAAGGCATGGTGGCACATGCCTTTAATCCCAGCACTTAAGAGGCAGAGGCAGGCAGATATCTGTGAGTTCAAGGCCAGCCTGGTCTACATAGTGAGTTCCAGGACAGCTGGGGCTTCAGGGAGACCCTGTTTCAAAAAAACCAAAAAAAAAAAAAAAAAGCTTTTTTATATGTATTGAGATTATTGTTTTTGTCCTACATTCTGTTAATTTAGTATATTGAACTTAAAGATTTATATATGTTGAGCCATCTATACATTCTAAGGATAAATTCTTTTGAATACATTGAACTATACTTTGAATATGCTATGGAATTCTACTTAGTAGAATTTTCTAGAGTATTATTAAATCTGTGTGCATACAAGATATTGCATTATAATTTTCATGTCTTAAAAAGTGTCTTTATCTTTTCTATC